AAATTTGGGGAATTTTGGGGTAAATTTTGTGGGCGTTTTGGGCTGCTCAGCTCTGGGGGGAGATTTGGGGATCCCAAAAGAGTTTTGGGGTTTTTCTTTGGGATTTTGGGTTTTTCTTTGGGATTTTCTTTGGGATTTTGGGGTTTTTAATTGAGATTTTGGGACTTTAAATTGGGATTTTTGGGTTTTTCATTGGTTTTTTTTGGGGTTTTCATTTGGATTTTGGGTTTTCATTGGGATTTTTTTTCATTTTTGTTTGGGATTTTTTTTCATTTTTAATTGGGATTTTGTGTTTTTCATTGGGATTTTTTGGGTTTTTCATTGGGATTTTTTGGGTTTTTCATTGGGATTTTGGGGTTTTTCATTGGGATTTTGGGGTTTTTAAGTAGGATTTTTTTGTTTTTCATTGGGATTTTTTTGGGTTTTCATTAGGATTTTGGGGTTTTTGGGGTCTGAGGCAGCTCCTGTGAGCCCTGTGTGTTTCGGGGTGCCCTGACCCCCATTTTGCCCCCCAGGACCTGGGGGTGACGGCGGCGCTGGCGTTCCTGTGGCTGGGAGGGGATTCGGGCACCCCAAAAGAGTTTTTGGGTTTTTATTGGGGTTTTGGGCTTCTAATTGAACATTTGAGGTTTTTAATTGGGATTTGGGGGTTTTTAATTGAGATTTTGGGATTTTAAATTGGGATTTTGGGTTTTTCATTGGGATTTTTTTGGGTTTTAGTTTGGGATTTTTGGGTTTTTCTTTGGGATTTTTTGGGTTTTCTTTGGGATTTTTTGGGTTTTTCATTGGGATATTTTGGGTTTTCTTTGGGATATTTTGGGTTTTCTTTGGGATATTTTGGGTTTTCTTTGGGATATTTTGGGTTTTCTTTGGGATTCTTTGGGGTTTTCATTGGGATTTTGGGGTCTGAGGTAGCTCCGCTGAGTCTGGGGTCTCTGACCCCCATTTTGCTTTGGGATTTTTGGGTTTTCTTTGGGATATTTTGGGTTTTCTTTGGGATTCTTTGGGGTTTTCATTGGGATTTTGGGGTCTGAGGTAGCTCCGCTGAGTCTGGGGTCTCTGACCCCCATTTTGCCCCCAGGACCTGGGGGTGACGGCGGCGCTGGCGTTCCTGTGGCTGGGAGGGGATTTGGGCACCCCAAAAGAGTTTTTGGGTTTTTCATTGGGATTTTTTGGGTTTTCATTGGGATTTTTTGGGTTTTTCATTGGGATTTTGGGGTTTTTAAGTAGGATTTTTTTGTTTTTCATTGGGATTTTTTTGGGTTTTTCATTGGGATTTTGGGGTTTTTAAATAGGATTTTTATGTTTTTCATTGGGATTTTTTGGGTTTTTCATTGGGATTTTTTTGGGTTTTCATTGGGATTTTTTGGGTTTTTCATTGGGATTTTGGGGTTTTTAAGTAGGATTTTTTTGTTTTTCATTGGGATTTTTTTGGGTTTTTCATTGGGATTTTGGGGTTTTTAAATAGGATTTTTATGTTTTTCATTGGGATTTTTTGGGTTTTTCATTAGGATTTTGGGGTTTTTGGGGTCTGAGGCAGCTCCTGTGAGCCCTGTGTGTTTCGGGGGGCCCTGACCCCCATTTTGCCCCCCAGGACCTGGGGGTGACGGCGGCGCTGGCGTTCCTGTGGCTGGGAGGGGATTTGGACACCCCAAAAGGGTTTTTGGGTTTTTAATTGGGGTTTTGGGGTTTTAAATTGGGATTTTGGGGTTTTTCATTGGGATTTTTGGGTTTTCATTGGGATTTTTTGGGTTTTTCATTGGGTTTTTGGGGTCTGAGGCAGCTCCGCTGAGTCTGGGGTCTCTCCTGTGTGTTTCGGGGTGCCCTGACCCCCATTTTGCCCCCAGGACCTGGGGGTGACGGCGGCGCTGGCGTTCCTGTGGCTGGTCAGCTCCTGCGCCTGGGCGGCCGCGCTGGCCGAGGTCAAGGCGGCCACGGCGCCCTCGGGGGTGCTGGCCCAGGTCGGGGGGTGCCAACGCCCGGGGGCGCGCTGCCAGGCGCTGGGGGCACCCCGCACCTCGGGGCTCAACACCTCCGTGGTGAGTCTGGGGGCGCAGGCACCCCAAAAACCAAAAATCCCCCCTAAAAACCTCCCCAAAAACGTCAAATTTCCCCTAATTTGTTACCAAAAACCCTCAAATCCCACCCAAAAACTCCTAAATCCCACCCAAAAAAACCTAAATCCCCCCTGACCTCGGAGCTCAACTCCTCCGTGGTGAGTCTGGGGGTGCAGAGACCCCAAAAACCAAAAATCCCCCCTAAATCCTCCCAAAAACACCCAAATCCCCTCTAAAAATGCTCAAATCCCACCCAAAAAATGCTCAAATCCCACCCAGAAAAACCCTAAATCCCACCTAAATAAACCCCAAATCCCCCCGGGCCTCGGGGCTCAACACCTCCGTGGTGAGTCTGGGGGCACAGGCACCCCAAAAACCAAAAATCCCCCCTAAATCCTCCCAAAAACACCCAAATCCCCTCTAAAAACGCTCAAATCCCACCCAAAAAATGCTCAAATCCCACCCCAAAAAAACCTAAATCCCACCTAAACCTAAAAAACCCCAAATCCCCCGCACCTCGGGGCTCAACACCTCCGTGGTGAGTCTGGGGGCACAGGCACCCCAAAAACCAAAAATCCCCCCTAAATCCTCCCAAAAACACCCAAATCCCCTCTAAAAACGCTCAAATCCCACCCAAAAAATGCTCAAATCCCACCCAGAAAAACCCTAAATCCCACCTAAATAAACCCCAAATCCCCCCGGGCCTCGGGGCTCAACACCTCTGTGGTGAGTCTGGGGGCGCAGGCACCCCAAAAACCAAAAATCCCCCCTAAATCCTCCCAACACCACCAAAATCCCCTCTAAAAACGCTCAAATCCCACCCAAAAAATGCTCAAATCCCACCCCAAAAAAACCTAAATCCCACCTAAATAAACCCCAAATCCCCCCGGGCCTCGGGGCTCAACACCTGCCTGGTGAGTCTGGGGGCACAGGGACCCTAAAAAATAAAAATCCCCCCTAAAAACCTTCCCAGAAACCCTCAAATCCCACCCAAAAACCACAAATCCCCCCTAAAAATGCTCAAATCCCACCCAAAAAATCCTAAATCCCACCCAAAAATCCCCCCTGACCTCGGGGCTCAACACCTCCGTGGTGAGTCTGGGGGCGCAGGCACCCCAAAAACCAAAAATCCCCCCTAAAAACATCCCCAAACCCCCAAATTATCCCTAAAACCCGTCAAATTCCTCCAAAAAACCTCCCAAAAAAGCCCAAATCGCCCCCAAAATTCCTCCAAATCCCTCCAGACCTCGGGGCTCAACACCTCCGTGGTGAGTCTGGGGGTGCAGAGACCCCCAAAACCAAAAATCCCCCCTAAAAACCTCCCCAAAAACCCTCAAATCCCACCCAAAAACCACAAATCCCCCCTAAAAATGCTCAAATCCCACCCAACAATCCCAAAATCCCACCCAAAACCCACAAATACTCCAAAGAAAAACCCAAATCTCCCCCCAAAGTCCCACCGAAAAACCACAAATCCCCCCTAAAAACCCCTCAAATTCCACCCAAAAACCCCAAATCCCCCCGCAGGTGTTCGGCTTCCTGAACCTGGTGCTGTGGAACCCCCAAAACCCCCCAAAAAACCCCCAAAAATCCCCAAAAAATCTCCTGAAAATCCCCAAAATTTCCCCTTAACTCCACCAAAAAACCCAAAAAACCCCCCCAAAAACCCCCCAATCCCCCCGCAGGTGTTCGGCTTCCTGAACCTGGTGCTGTGGATGGGGAACCCCCAAAATCCCCCCAAAAATCCCCTAAAAATCCTCCAAAAATCTCCCAAATCCCCCCAAAATCCCCGAAATTTCCCCACAACCCCCCAAAAAATCCCCAAAAACCTCCAAATCCCCCCGCAGGTGTTCGGCTTCCTGAACCTGGTGCTGTGGACGGGGAACCTCTGGTTCGTGTTCAAGGAGACCGGCTGGGGGGGCCTGGGGGCCCGCGCCCCCCCCCCGGGGGGGGTCCCCGAAAAAGCCCCGGCCCCAGAAGGGGGGTACGGCCCCCCCGAGGGGGGGTACGGCCAGCCTGGGGGGGGCTACGGCCAGCCCGGGGGGGGCTACCAGCCCGACTACGGCCAGGGGGGCTACGGGGGACCCCCCTCAGAGGGGGGGTACGGCCAGGGAGCCCCCACGTCCTTCGCCAACCAGATGTAGGGTGAGATTCGGGGGGGGATTTGGG